CCTTGTCACAAGAAGTAAATGAAACTCTAAACCTGAGAGATGGAGGGGACATTTACACTGAAGTGTTTGGAGGTAGATGTGGTTTCTGTGGCAACGTAAAGTTTTGAACTAAGTTCTGGGTATATTCAATTAACATTGATCTTCCTTCTACCCTTTAGAACTGTGATCTATCAGGTTGTGATCTACAGGAAGCTAACTTGAGGGGATCTAATGTAAAAGGAGCTATCTTTGAAGAGATGCTGACACCTTTGCACATGTCTCAGAGCGTCAGATAGGGAAGAGAATATGCCGAAGAGGAAGGAGTCAAAACCTCTGTGACTTTCTTCACCTCCTCCCCTTATTAAGTTAGACGTGATGATTATTAGACAACTTACATTTGCAGTAGTGCCTAAGTAAACTCTTCTTTGATCACTTTTGGGGGAGGGAGGGTTTGTTTAAAAGATAGAAACAGAAAGTGTCTGTTTCTACCTTTATGAACAGAGTGAGGAAATGGGCTCGTTTGGGGGGGAGAGTTGAACAGATTCATTGTTTAGCATTGCCTCACTTTGGAATGCATTTTAATTTATAAAGCACAATATATGCAATTCTATTTATTAAATCTGTAGCTGCAATATGAATAGAAAATGTTATTCATGTATAGTAGCAACAAAGTTCAGGTTTACAGGTAGGCTAGTGTATTTACAGTTAGTTTCTTCATTCATGCAGTGTGTTAAATGACACGTGTGGTTTAGACAATGTCCACAGGATGTTTTCAGGTACTCTTCTGGGGTGAAAACAGTAGTTAACTGTCATCACTGTCATATTGCCTTGTAGTAGTTTGAATGCAGGTATAGAACAGCTTTATCATCTTCTAAACTCTGCAGGGGAAGCTGCTTCCACTGCAGGGATCTGCCTACGCAGCAACTCAGACACCCCCTGCTCAGAAATTGGATGTCTTCTTTAATCCTTTCTGCATTAGTGTGAAATTGCACTATCAGTCACAGCTGGTAAGAAGAATTCTCTCGCTTTCAGATGTCCTAACCACTGCAAAGTGGAGTACCTGTAGAGCTTTCATTCTTTGTGGGGAGCTAAATGTACATAGGAAAATGCAATACTGTCACCAAAGTAGAGACAAGCATTGTGGCCACAGCACTTGCTCCATCCTCCATTGTTACTCCAGTATATGAATATATAGCACCAGTTTCCCCTTAATGTACTATGCAAATACTCCTGTACACTGAATCCTTGAAAGCATGGGCATAACCCTTTTCCCAGCCAGATCTTAAGTGTTCCACTTTGGGCCTGCTTAATGTGGCTTTAAAAGTATCTTGTGTAGGGCAAAGTACCCTTTCCACAACTGCTTTACCTGTGAGCAAATAGGGAACTGTGTGAGTTCTGCAGTGCAGAAAGCCTCACAGCATCTCTTTAAGTGGTGGTGCACTTCATTTAATAAGCTGTTTCCACTGTAGTGTCAATCTAGGTCTCATCTAACACGTTTATTTTATACACAATCAAAAAGCACATGAAGAAACTATACCAAAAAAAAAGAAGGTGCATCAAGAACTCTTACCTCAGATGCTTGCTTAAAACACCCCAAAGTTAAAACTAACCTTGAATCTAAGCAAATACAGCTACTACTGGGAGTTAAGAACCAATGTATCCTAAAACTTAGAGAATGTGACACTGTTGGCAGTAGCTTGTCACTTTGGTGGGTTGTCTTTCACTTGCAGTGCAGATTTCCTGTCCTCTGAGCAGAATTCTTCTTGTCTCAGTAGTTGTGAAAATGCTGCTTTGTCATTGATCTAGAAAGATTAGTTCAGGACCAGCATATGATTTTTGGGGGGAAATTGCTGGATTCTCCCCTATTTTCAAGTTGGGTTGACTCAGGCATATGACATGAGCTTCTGGGACTCAAAATCCCAGTGTTCTGTGGGTCAGAATTGGGATTTTCCTTCCTCAAGATTCCCAGACCTCTTGATCTGGCTCCAGGACACCACCAAATCCGTGGTGAAATACAACTGTAGCTTCAAGAGGAATATTTCAGCGTGAGTTTGGAGTCCTTTCTCCCACCTCATCGCTTTCATTGAGAGTGATGTGTCTGTTGCAGTAGAAGATTCCTAGGGCTAGAGAAATAAATGAATTATTTTTCTTTATCATATTTTGTAGTTAGAAGTAAAATATTGTATGGAAAAAAAAATCTATATTTTCATAATCACTGTGTATAAACTATATTTGAACTTCCACTGATGCACTGTGTTTGGAATAATCACAGCATGTGGCATCATTCATTCACAGCTGAATTGAAGGTACCTCTTTTGCTATGACAAAGCTGTACGAATAGCCCAGGGTGGCCTATTCAGAATGTGCAGGTTCCAGCCTAATTTAAATTGCATTAATAAAAGTGTGAAATCTAAAAGTGTCTGGGTTGTCTTCTTGTAAGCTGGGAGTCATCCACACTTGAGCACGCACTTTATGAGCTGTCTCTGGTTGAGGTGTCTTTACTTCTGCACAGACAATTGGGGTTTTAACTTGTCATTCATCTGCAACGCTTCTCAGCTTTCCTTTGATCCCACCCTTCATATTTGGTTACTGAAATAGCTGCAGTCAGAATTTCCAGAGGTATGGGCACCATTTAGAACACTTGGAGGTGATCATCACACAGCACCAGCAGCTCAACTTAACAGGGAAGTGATAAAGCACATTAAAATACCCTGTCCTTGATTTTGGTCTGGAAAGTGCTCACTATAAACTATGGCACAAGAGTACAAGTGCAGCACATCTGTGTAAGTGCATGCTGTAGAGCACCTCGAGAACAAAACGGGGGAAAATCCAGTCTTGTCTTCAGCTTCTCACCTCCAGTACACATCTTCACGCTAGGAATGCTGCCAAAATCAGAGGGGTTTACTGCTTTCCATTGTACTGGTCCTTAAAAGTATTGGTGGGCAAATAAAACCAGCTGTAATGTGTTCTTCAACCTCCCATCTCCTTTATGGAAGTTAATAGCTGTGGCTTAGAGTTTGAGATGTGCAGCAGCTCACTAACGCCGCAATTACATGCCCTTCCTGCCACTCTTTGGTAGGTCAGCTCTGGAGCTAGAACAGAAACCTGTGGAGAAGCACAGCTGTAGAAAGATGCTAAGGCCAGACCATCATTAGACGGAGTTAAAGTGGTGGGTTAATAAGAGGTGCAATTATTGGGCTAAGCAGCCCCCTTCTTTCTTTAAATGTCATCCCTCAGGATGAACAAATCTTCCATTTGCATTGAAATAACCTTAAGTTTGGGGAGGCTCATCAGGGAAGAAAGGAGTTACAGGAAAACCTCCCTTCTAAAGCCATGTGCCTATGCAGGGGTGATGTTTCTACTGAAACCAACTATTTTCACAGCTTGATCAGTTTATCAGCTGAAGCTAAATGTTGGCCATGCTTGCCATGAGTAGGAGGAGCATTAGAGCAGGAAGAATTACTCTTTGCTAGTCACTAAATCCTCCTGAAATTATTTACTTTTTAAATGACTTTGAATCCATTAATGTCAGAGAGGTAACGCGAGCAGGAAGAGAGGATGTTTGAAGAACACTGAGCAAGAGAGATTCAATTCTGCATCAAACAATGCAGAGCAAACAAAATAGCTGCCAGGTGGGTAAAAAAATACATTTCTGCAGGCAAAATTGCTGAATTTAACTCCTGCCTGCAAACAGCTACTGAGTCCTTCATACAGCTGCAAACGCTCTCAGGACTGAAGAGCATGCATCCTTAAACTCACACACAAGACCTTGGAACAGTCTTCCAGTACCTAAAGGAGTGACAAGAAACCTGGAGAGGGGCTTGGGACAAGGGCCTGTAGGGACAGGCCAAGGGGAATGGCTTGAACCTGCCAGAGGGGAGACTGAGATGAGCTCTTAGGCAAAAGCTCTTCCCTGTGAGGGTGCTGAGGTGCTGGCACAGGGTGCCCAGAGAAGCTGTGGCTGCCCCATCCCTGGCAGTGCTCAAGGCCAGGTTGGACACAGGGGCTTGGAGCAAGCTGCTGCAGTGGAAGGGGTCCCTGCCCGTGGCAGGGGTTGGGGCTGGATGAGCTCTGTGCACCCGTGCAAGCCCAGGCTCTTGTTTAAGCACGGAAGAACTGTTTCCTTCATGCCTGATACACAGGGAGGGACTAAGCTGAATTCCTCACCCATTTCCAGACCTCCTCAACAGCTTCCAACTTCACCCAAAAACTTTTACTTACAAATCAGAACTCACTGCAAGAAAAGATGGTGCATTTTCCATGGGGCAGCAGCAATCAGCTGGATTTGAATGGCAGCTTTATAGCTTCTTAAAGAAAGGCTGTTACTTTTATTGCTCTTTGAGAAACCAGCTGAATTTAATAGCTGCACAGGGGTGTTCCAATTATGTGCTTTACTCCTGCTGCATTACAGCACTTTTAAGAACAAAATTGCAGCCTGGGAGATAGAATTAGGTAAAGGCACCTGCTGTGAAGGGTTTGGCCTTGGGATGGTTGTGTATAAAACCTGAGAGGACAAGAACACTCACAAGGCGCTTTCAAACGGAGGAGAGGTGCAGCTCCTCTGCAACCTCTCTCAGCAAGCAGGTAACGTGACCGAACAGCATGCCATGTTCTTTCTTACCTGTTCAGTGCTTGCAGATGCTAGTATTAGAAGAAACTTGGTTAGAAGGGACTGCAAACAGCACTTCTTAAGGAGCAGGGATAATAGAACAGAAACTGGCTAAACTTAACGCATCTGTCCAACCTCCACAGGGACTTCCATGGAACCTTTGAGGTCCAGGCATTCTGGAAGCTCTGAAAGGGGGATCAAAAATCCTACTGTAGATCCTCATCCAGATTTTTCAGCTATTAAATCTCTTTATAAGGAGCTAATCCACATTTGGAGAGGCTCAAAAAGCCAGCTCCCACATCAGCACGATGCCACACTGGGGTACAGAGATCCAGAATGGCAGCATCTCCTAATTCTGTAAGATCAAAACGGAGCTGTGATGTTGTTATGAGCAGGAAGATGTTGTGTTCTCTCACAGGATGGAGAAGTCCAGGAAGATCTCTGTCAGCATCCTCCTGTTTGTCCTGACTCTGGAAATCTGCTCTGCTCAACACTGGTCTTATGGCCTGCAACCAGGAGGAAAGCGGAGCGTGGAAAACACGATGGGATCATTTCAGGAGGTGGGTTCTAGATTGTACAACACCCTGTGGCTTTAGCTAAGATCCCTTGTCTGGAAAAGATGCAAGCAAAGAAGAGGTGACATAGCTTCACTGTATATATGTCTATGTATCATTATGTCTATATATCATGTCTATATATCTATGTATCATTATGTCTATATATCTATCCATCTATACATATGTATACACACACACACACCTTTTTAAAGCAGTAACTGGAAAGTAACTGTTGGGGTAAGATGACATTTGCCAGCCTTACAGGAAGATGGAGAGGCCTGGGCAGGCTGCTCCAAAGGAGAGATGATGGAGTCTGAATTCCAGGTTAAACCTGATTTCATCCTCTCTCCTACATTTCAGCCTCTGATGGGCTGTTTTAGACAACATTCATCCAGAGATGCGGCAGGGGGTGGCTGTCATATGGCAATGAATTAGAGGGTAAGCAGCTGGATGACAAAGCTGATGTGGAAGGTTCTGTCCCCCCATGACTTTCCCATCCTTTCTAGTACTTCCTATGTAGTCCCTTGTAATGGTAGTCCCAGCATCCTGATTTGAAGCTGGCTGCGGCACCTGGGGAGGAGCTGAATGGAAGTTGTGCAGTGGAACAGTTTCCTCTTCATCTGTACCAGGGCAGCATTGCTTTAGCAGAAATAAACCCCTTTCCCAAGGCTGTGTCACTTCCCACTCCAGATTGCAAGTGACACGGCAGAAATGGGGGAAGTGCAGAGGACAGAATGCCCAGGCTCGTACCAGCGCTCCAGGCTCAGCGCTCTGAAGGAAGCCGTGGTGAGTAATGGATGTAACTTCATCCCTATGGGAAAATCAGGGGATGGATGCAGGCTGGGAATGTACATGGAGGGGAGAGAAAAAAGGCTGATGGAGGAAGAGGCATTAAGTTCAGTTCACATGTGGCAATGCTGGCTCTGCCCCAGTGTCTGCATCAGCCTCAAGTAGCTCAGCCCTAGGACAGGGCTACGTTATCCTTATGCTCCGGTGTAGCAATGTCGTTACCCACTAAATCAAAACCAAGTCACACACATTCCACCTTAATATAAATCTATGCAGCATTCACAGATGCTTAACTTCAAAAGGCACTCTTTGCCAGCTGAAGGATCAAGCCATATGGAAGCTGCTGCTCCCAAGGTCCCTAGGCTGGGAAATGGATTTTCCATTAGATGCTCTAATGCCATGACAGCAGAGACTTCGCATCCAAACCGACTGCCACAGAAAGAATACTCTCAAGCCAAAATGTGCTCTTTAATTAATACAGCAACACCTTGATGGGGCCAGATGGTCACCACTTCCTGGGAAGTGTCTCCGAGCTGTCCTAGAAGTTGAAACTCTCAACCTGTACTTCACTTGTGAAGCCAAGAGCTGAAGTTTCAAGTATGCACTGCAGCTTTCACTGAGGAACCTGGCTCATGAATTGAGTACCAGGGCAGCTTTCACTGAGGAACCTGGCTCATGAATTGAGTACCAGTGCTGCAGGCAGGGCACAGCCAGGCTGCCACTGGGTTTGCATGCAGGAACTACTTAAACTACCTGAAAATTAAATATTTTTTAGGTCATCTTTAATCCTATTTGTCCTGAACATAAAATGGAACATATAGGTTGGACAGGGCTTGGAGCAAGCTGCTCTAGTGGAAGGTGCCCCTGTCTGTGGCAGGGGTTGGAACTGGATGAGCTTTAAGGTCCCTTCCAACCCAAACCATTCTAGGATTCTTCTTCCAACTTAGTTCTTCGGCTTGCTCAGAAACTGCTGCTAATCTTGCACATCAGTACAAAAGCTCCTAAACCTCAGCATCAAACCCTTAGTTTGCATGTCTTATTCCTGTAGCACAGCCTGAACTATGCGGCCTTCTTATTTCTAGCTGCTTAATGACACTGAAAACAAAGTCAAGCTTTTTCCAGATGCAGCTTTTCCGATGTAACCCATTCCTGGAGTTGCTACAGGAATCTTGTGCAATGAAAGGGGAGGTGTCTGGAAACGGTCCACCCTGTGGAAAAACACTTCCAATTATCTTCATCATTTCCTGGAGAAGCTGGTAGTGAGCACAAACAAGAATACACCTAGCTAAGGCACATCAGGGCAAACCAGAACATGTCCAGCCAGGGCATCCATCCAAAACACCTCAGGCTTTTGACTCTGAGGCAAGAACATACAGAAACAAACAGATAGGAGACCAGATCCAGCAGGATGTGACACAGGAACACGGTTTCCATTCAAACAGCACCAAGCTACACAGACAATGGTTACAGGGCAACTGTGCCACTCTGTAATGACCCTGTGATGCTTTTGCCTTCTTGCCTCTGCTCTCTTGGCCAACTGCTCAAGCTCACAGAGGCGTTGCTTTGTTCAAGTTCATGCTGCTTGCCCTGAGCTGCTGTCAATGTGTGCTGCTGAACAGCTGCTGGGTTTCACTCCAAGAACTGCTGCGGTGCTGGGCCCACCAACAGATGTAAAGTTGGTCACGCACTTTGGTATGAATACTGCCATTATAAGTGTCAGTTACATTATACTGGGTGAGCAGATCCCGGGGCAGGTGGCAGAGGGAACATGTCGAGTCAGGTTTATGTCATTCTAATCCTCCTCCCATGTAGACCATTAGCATTTGAGCATCTGACCAAGCCTTAAAATGCCATTATCGAAGTCATTTCTTCTCTTTAAAAGAAGTATATGATGTGTGTGTCTACAGGAAAGTCTGATGGAAGAAGCCAGACGAAAGAAGCCTTAACCCGTGAAGCCAAAGGGAACAGACCCAGAATAACATGTCAAAGCTATCAGAATTCTCTTCCCAAACCCCTAAATTCTCTTCAAATGGACTTTGCTCAGATTGCTGTATGTGAATAAATCCTCTGCAGTTGCATGTAAATAGTAGGAGATAATTGTTGTGTTGATTATCAGCTTGCATGTAAAAGAGAACACGTTCCAGTCCAGTGGTGGGGACTCAGCAGCAGAGGGTCTGCTCTGTGTCCTGCAATGAGAACTTGGACATGACAGCTTTTGTTTCTCATATGCAGACAATGCCTGGCCAAGGGCTGTGTCTGATCTCACTGGTCTCTGGATAAAACAGTAATGCAACAATAAAAACCAAGGCTAAACTTACAGCTGGGATGTAATTCCACTCGCGCTTCTGTACTCCTTGCATGAAAGACCTTTGTATGCTCTTTTTTTACTGGTTCACTCATAAAAACTACATTTATTTTAAAAAGGTATTTACAAACTTTACAACAGTTAATACATTTTAAAAACCACAAGAATTTATACACCTTGCTTTACAGACTTAGTGAATCAGATGTCATTTACCCAGAGAGACGCAGACTCCCTTTCCAAAGCTTAGCTCCTGCTCTTTCTCCAGAGCCAGTTTAAAAGCTGTACTTTTTGCTGATTCAATTGCAGGGAACTAAAAGAAAGAGGAAGAAGAGAAAGGTCTTTGCAGTCTGCAGAGGTGCGTTTTGTAACTGAACCATCACACCCAGCATCTCAAACCACTCACAAAATACTGTTACACAACATCCATATCCTCCTGAATTCAAGATGAATGAGTCCCAGAGTTTATCATGTCATTAAACCTTTGTAACGCCAACAATGAAAAACTACATTAATTAATACCATGCATGTTGGGGCTGAATTTCAGAGCTGCTGAGGATTTACACCTCTGCTGAAGAGAACAGACAACTGCAGACCACGCATGTGAAAACCAGGTTTGAAGTACACAGTCAGGCACGTCCAGGGGTTGACAGCCTTAAATCAGGACAGTCAGACCAATACAGCATCAACAGATGCTTTTCACCTTTATTAAGCTCCTCTATCCTCCTTTGTGTACTCTTTGTAGTGCCACAAAGTCCTAAAGGTGCTTTCATATTAACAGGAGCAGAGTCAGGTGAACCTCCTGTGCCTTTGAATGAAATTACATTATTCCTTTTCTTTTTCTTTCCCATGTAGTCCTAGGAAAAGCTCACCCTGATCCCCTAGATAATTTGGTCTGCGACAGTAAATATCAAATAGAGAAGGTTTTTAATTACAAGAATTAAAAGAAGGCAGCAGTACTGGGTCAGGAATGCTTTCACCATAAAAAAGCTTACAGTTAAATTACAGACATCTTAAACTTACTACTTCCATTTACACTTATAAAAATAAATAAGGAGAGAAAATCTGAGCCATCATCACTCCAAGTCTAACTCACTGTTCATGTGTGGAGCACACACTGGGCTGCACAGTGTGAAGGTCGTTAGATGCAGGTTCTCCAAACCCACTGCATAGACAGGATGGTGTTTTCTGCCACTGCAGATCACAGAGCTGCTCTCACTGGAATCGGTGTCCTTTCCTAATCCAATAATCCACTGCAATGGAAAGCTGTCCATTTCCCTCCTCCCTGATGTGGATTAGAGCCTGCATCATTTTTAAAGGAATTTATCACAGCATGACAAGTTTTAATTAAAAGCTCCAGAAAACAAGTGTTGAGCATATTTCTCCAAAGCAAACCAAAATCCTCTAAGACTTGACATGTAACACTCGCTTTGAAGAGCACAGCTATGAAATGGGATTAGAGTTTTGTCTTCTCTGCAGACTCGGTATTTAACTTGGAGGTTTGTTTCATTCAAAAGCCATGAACTGGCTAGAAACACTGCTGTTTGCTTTCACTTCTGGGGTGCAGAGGTGACAACGTTAATGTTCTACTCCCATTTCTAGCCCTCCAGTTTAAAAGGCAGTAGGTGACACTTCCAAAAGCACCTAATGAACGTGGAAAGATGATTCTGATTCTGAAAACGAAGTAGTGAGACCTTAAATTGACTCTGAAAGTTAAATCTCAGCATTTAAGTCAGGGAAGTACCATAGTAAAGAGTGGAACACTTAAACCACCAGTGGTCTGGTGGGATTTCTCCTAAGTGCGGGCACTTATTTCACTTAATGAAAATGAGCCAGGCCCCATCCCTATTAACAGACATAAATGCCCAACTGCCTTTAGGAATCTGACACTTGGAAGACAATGCTCATTCCTGAAACTGGCACAAAGCCCCAAAGCATCAGTACAGAAAGTCCTTCTCATAGCTCTAAGCAGCCTATGCTGACTTATATCAGCTAAGAACAGAACTCCTCACACACGCAATGTGAATAACACACCTGTCAAAAAGGAACACCTATTTGTGACTTGGTTTCCCAAATATAAGAAGGGGAAACAGGGAGAGTTTACAGCACTTCAGACTGGAGAACAAAAACAACGCTAAGGAAGGAAAAATCCCCCAACCTTAAACCCCTTTCTGGCAGATCTGCCAGTGAAATGCCCAAAATATCCCAGGAAGGAAACTCTTGCTCTGTGCTCTTTAGGCATCAGCTGCTCCTTTCCTTCCAGTTAAGGTGATGCCTCAGCTACAACAGTCTCCAACTGGCCAGACAACAAAGGTAGCAAGGAGAAACGCCTGACCTGCATGGACAGCACACCAAGACTGAGCTTAAGGAACCTGCCAGGTGAGGCAGTGGGCTGCAAGCAGAGCACACAGGAAGGTAACACCTTCCCTGCTTCTTAAGGAGTGCCTCTACAGTAAAAGCCAAAGACCAAAACACAAATGAAAGGCCGTTCATAAACCTCATCTACAAAACTGCAAAGGAACACCCGAAACAGCGAGAACCAAAGAGCATTAGGAAAGGGTCACTGAAGATCGGCTGAACAGCTCCTCCCAAGCTCAGACTTCCTCCAGTGGGGTTTTTTTGCATGGACTAGTTCCCTCCTCCAGAGAAAGAACCCAAAGTATGAGTTAAAGTGATTAAAGCACATCAGAAAAGTAGGGAAATAAGACTCAAAAGTCACTTGGAACCAGAATCCCCACAGGTGACAGTTTGTTTCCCCACAACAGACAAACCCTTAGCTGAGATTCCTACACAGAGTCCTTTGTTTCTGCTGGCTTCCCACAGGAGTTAAAAGCCAATCTGCTCTGAAAGAGAAGTGCACCCAAGGCTGAGGTAACAGGCAGATGCAGAATGGGGGAAGGCACTGAATTAACAAGAGGTGGAGTTAATACCCACTTTGCTACAATTCAGACCACATCCTGATGTTCTGCCTCAAGCGAAAGACAAGAAGTTCTTGTTCAAGTGAAGAGTTTCAGAGGACCTGAACCTTCAGTTCATGTGTGCAGCAGAAGGAACACAGTGGTTACAAGAGGAGGAAGTGGGCAAAAAATGAAAGACAAGAAAACCCTGTGGTTTTCAAGTCAAGCAGCACCTACGTCCAAGACCATAATGTGGAGCTGACAAGTCCTACAATGCACCAGAGAAAGGGGGGGAACCATGGTCAAGTTGTCCAGGAAGGTCTCCAAGATGTCCCCTGAGAAGGCAACAATGCAGAAGGCAGTTGTATGTGTGCTAAACAACAACAGCGCTGCAGAGGTGCGTGATGCGACTGCAACTTCCAAATGGCTCCAACCTGTTCTGTGATGTGAATCCGATAGGATCCTTCCATGAGAGCAACCTGTTCCACAGGGCCATGCAGGCACCAAAGCAAATGCAGCTTCTGCAGGTTTCTTTAACAGGAACCACACTGAAGCCAAAGGAATGTGTAAGAACAAAAGAAAGGGCTACTTCAGTCTGAACAAAAACCACCCCGGGGTTGCTTTGGTTTTGCTTCTCCCTGAACAGAGAAGAACTGCACTGCAAGAGAGTTTGAAACTGAATTGTCTTCTGGCTTCCCACCTCAGGGCTGCAGCACAGAGCAAGTAGCCCTGAAAGGTGCGAAATGAGGAGTATTGATCACAAATGGGGATGTCCTGGTTTGTACCAGCCAGAGTCCAGTGTGTGCTCAGGCCCAGAGCAATGCTGTGTCTAAGGCCCGTCTGGTGCCTTTTCTTCTCTATACAAAGACTGATGCTGATATTCAGACAGAACAGGAAACAAATAAGTAAAAAAGAAATTAAACACATTAACTCATCCTCCAAGGAACTAAAAGCTGCAAAGAGCTAGAGGAAGCAACAGGAAACTAAGTGGTGAACAGTTAAGTCTTCCAAATGCATCCCAGATCTAAACAGCTTCGTTAAAAGTCCAGTGGCTGTTAAAAACCCAGATCAAGGGAGGCTGGAAAACAAAGTGCAAGAACTGCCACAAATGGGTGCAGGGAAAAAAACAGAATGAGAATTAGCTATGGTTTTGTGAATTTACCCAGCCAAAGTGAAGGTTACAGTAACTTTCAGACTTTGGTTCTGAGGTCAGGATGTACAGTTAGAGCTGTGCACTCCATCCTCTCAGGTGCTGGTACCAGTACAGTGCTGGTCTCAGTGCAGCTTCCATTCTTCTCACATATTCACTGGTGTGAGGAACCCTTTTGCACCCTATTAAAAAGCACAAGATGAAACATTCTACCAAGTCCCAGATGCAAGCACAAACCAGGGAGGTAACACAGCTCAGGGTGGAGTATCAACTGCTCTGTAGTGTTAAAACCAGAATCAACAGGGAGATTATGACAAAGTACTGGTGAACCTAAACTCTCCATTGGGAATGAGCAACTGCCAGTACTCAGAACAGAGATGGTAGATGTATGTATTTAAGGTGAAGGCAGAATGTCTGCACTTCATCTTCAATACATACGATGACTAGCAGAAAAAAAAGACCTTATTCTGCTAACAATGCTCAGGTCTCTGCCTGCAATCAAGACCCTTCAGAGACTGCACATCACACACCAGCACCTGACATCCCAGGAGCTGACATTTCACAACTCAGGGCTGGCTGTGATCTGTTTCACTTCATGCGGATCAGGGTTGGGCTATGCCACAGGGACAGGAGGAGGGAAGTGCAGCTGTAAAGTGTAATGAACTTATGTGAAAACACTGCAGGGCACACACTGGTGTGGCTTACCTTGTTCCAAA